CCCCCCCCCCCCCCCCCAATCAAAACCCTCCTCGTTAACTACTTCACCTCACTCCGCTTCCTTCCCAAAGATTCAAAGACCCCTCATTCTATAATCTTCTACAACCGAACCTCTCCCCCCTCCCCCAATCCGATTCACGTGCCATGGTCGAGATTGCTGAAACCAAGAAGTGGGGATTTCAGGAAAAGATGCAACATCCCGACCTCATTGATGCAGCTTGCTGATGTCATGTCAAAAGTTTCACGCATGCAACGACGCCAATGGCAATGAAGGGAACTTTGTGAAGCTAATCTTTGAACAGCAGGAAAAGGAAGTTCGTGAACAAGAGAGGAAAATTTACCAAACAGATTCGAGTACCAACGAATAAAGAAATTTAAACCCAAACTCGATCATAATAACCCATTCAAAACCGATTTTAAAAAACTCGATCCAATTATCCGAATCAATCCGTCTGTAAAACATATTTGATTGTGGGTTACATCAGATTTGAACAGGACGGGATTTTTTGATTAGGCCTAAATTACAAATCCTAAACCATGCATCATCTTCCAACCTAAATTACAAATCATCTATCCAAAATAGGAATAAATTTAAAAGCTTATTTCATATAGACTAAACTAAAAACAAACCTCACGTATAAAAACCAAACTAAACAGACATCGCATTAGCCATCAAAATAAAAAATTTAGCCACACTATCATGCACGTCAATTTGTTACATACGCAAGACATACATCACATTACTATGACATGAAAATAACCAACAAAAATACGAACTTAAAGTTGATTTGAAAAAACTGCAAGGACCAAATTCGTGAATAAAGCATTAAATATAAGAACCAAAAGTTTGAATAGAGCCAAATAAAACATGCCAACAATTAACATACAGCAAATGTTAGTCAAGTAAACTCATCAGCAATGTTGTATTATTTCAATCATTACAAAACAAGATACATCGGTTGCATCCAAGAAAAGAGTGCAAATTCTAGACAAAAAGGGAAACATTAAAAGCTATAAAAGTAAAAAAAGAATATTGAATAGCAAAGCATTATAAATGTATTCCAGTCCACCTTGATACCAAACTTCCGGATAATGAGACGAATGCCCGGAAAACATATACTAATGATAAACTATTGTCTTGTATTTACACAAACATTTCCTCACCTACATATACCGGCAGAAACAAAGAATTGGGGATGACCGTATCCTCAAAGGTATGAAAATGGGGCGGGAGCAGCCTCACCCTCCAAAAATGTATCAAAACATCATTAACTGTCAGGCGATCACCTGTTAATATTTGTAACCCGAAGAACCCGGAGGAGCAGGAGGTAGCCGATTAGGGGTCCGACGGCTGCCGGAGTTTGAACCAGAGTTCACGTCACCATTTTGTGCAGGATCACTGTAATGTCGACTGTGACCATTGGATCCCGATCTTGATGAACCACTTCGACTTATAGGGCCATTGGCAGCTGCATCAAAGGCGGATCTCCAGTCATCACCTGGTCCACTGGCACTGCTTCTTGGGCTACTCTCTGCAAAACAAATAAGTAATGTAAGTACCCAAAATGGAAAAACTTACGGAAAGAAACTACTATCAACTGAGAATCCAAAAAAAAGATAAAATTCAGTTTCAACAAATATTAACTCACGATGCAATCCGGTTTGTTACCAGGATAATTAAGGTAATAGGATATAAAGTTTGGATCTTTCAAATCAAATGGCAAAGTGCACTTTACAAAATAAAATGCAAATTGTAACTGCTTATAAAAATAATTGGGTGAATTGACTGTTATGAGTATGTATTTTATTAAAATTAATAAATCGATGGTCAATTTGTCCAGGATATGAATGCTCCACATTCAGTATCAGAATAAGATAAAACGGTACAATAATTCTTAATAATATTCGATCATTAATGATGACAAGTTTGGGCACTTAAAACAAAAATAGTAGTATTAAAAATAGGGTGCACAAATATATTAAATGAATGTTGATGAGTCATCCATCCAACAAGTATGTAAATGAGTAAGAAAGCGCTAACACACACCTGCACTACCATTTGACCAGCCAGATGCAGCAGCTGCTCGGTTGTCATGAATACTCAGTTGTCGTGTCAATTTCGACAGAAGTGAGGATTGTTTCTGGTAACGCTCTCTTCTGCGCTTAACATTTTGATCTTCTAGAAGCAACTCTTCAATCTTAGCAGTGCTTTGAGCACTAATCATGGAAACAAAAAAACAATGTCAACAATCACAAATATCAAAGCAACAACTAATAAATATAAATAATTGCCATTGACATATACAAAACTATAACATCCAGATAAATTAGCATGTAACTTGCACATTAACACTTGATATCTTGAATCAATAATGAACCATGTGTCAGGTTCAGACAGTATACTACAAGGTTTTCCTTATTAATGCATAGAACAAAATTACTGCACCTGAACACACGTACATAGGTTAGCATCTGAACACTATTTTTTATGGCAAAAACCCATATACTCTGTTAAAATAACTCATAATTGATAAAATTGCCTTTCCATTTCTTTTTAAATTTAAATTTGTTACTTCAACCATCTTTTTCTCTCATTCTCTATCACAAGCAGCAAGCAATTCAAATTGAGGCTCCTCATCCTATGCCAGCTTTAACTCCACATTTGGTATATTAAAGAAGTTTGTTTGAGAGTGTGCTTTTCAACACTGCAATTAATTTCATAAAACAGAAGAGGAGCACTGGAGACTAATGACTTCCATTAAAAACGAAGTTTGGACATGAAACTTCAGCAGTCCCAATAAAGGTGGGAAGTTCATATTTGAGCAAGAAAACATAGAAATTTATTTAACGGGAAAAATATCAAAATACTATGTTTAAAACAAATAAAAATAACATTATATACATATATATATATATACACACACACACACACACATATATATATATATAGAGAGAGAGAGATGGACAGAAAGAATAATTATCACGAACAGAAAAGAGATAACTGATAATCTCTCTACATTACAACAACCAAGTTTTTTTCCAACTAGCTTAGTTCGGATACAGGGATCAAATGGCATTATCATTTATACAGTAAATCATGTAGATAGACAAATTATTGACTTCTATATCCTTATTTGTTTCACCTGGTTTTATTGGTCTCATTCTATATCTAGCAACTGAGCTACCCTGCATATAATCTACTCTCCTTCCTAGTTTCATGTCTTCTCCACACATGCACAAACCACCTAAGGCAAGACTCTACTATCCTTTCCACAATAGGCGCTACCCTGGCTATCTTCCCAAATGCATTCGTTCCGATTCTGGTCTAGTTTGTCCACTCATCTAATGCAACATCCTTATCTCCATTACATTATTTTATTTTCTTGTTAGCTTTTTATCTACCAACATTCAGTTCCATAATACATTGCAGGTCCTGAAGCTGTGCAGCAAAATATTCCTGAAAATTTTGTCAGTCTCATTCCAAAAATTGAGGTAATGTAAAGAGAAATTAAGGATATGTTGTAATCTCTTTACATTCCTTCAAAATCTTCAAGAATGAGACTGACAAATGCAAGGAAGAAATCTAGTGCAAGAGAATAAAAATAGAATTTAAGGATATGTTTTAATCTCTTTACATTCCTTCAAAATCTTCAAGAATGAGACTGACAAATGCAAGGAAGAAATCTAGTGCAAGAGAATAAAAATAGAAAAACAATAACAATTTTCTAAACCTGACAGAGCTATATAATTGATTCAGCATGTCTTCCTTAGCTTTTTCAACTTGACAAAGAACAACTGCCTGTAAACCAAATAACCAGAAAATGCATCAAACATTAACGGGAAAAAACAGTAAAATTATAAAAATGGAAAATGTTAAAACAGAAGCTTACCTTTGGTACATTAGCAGCTAAACTATTTAGAACTGCTTCAACGTATCCACGAACTTCTTGTGACATCCATCGGAGTTCTTCCTCAGGATCAGCAGGTCTTCGAGCCATTGTATCCTGAGGTAGGATACCAAAATATAATAAAAGCCAGTTAATAACCACAGTTTAAGGAATAACAATCTATTTAGTATTTATTTATTTATTTTTAATTTTGTTATGCAAAACCTCAGCTTATATAGACTCAGTCAAGAAACTTTAATATACTTAACAGAAAACAGAAATTAGACAAGTTCTGTCAATTGCTTGATTGAGAGCATTCAACATCCCAGATATTTATAAACAAAAATGAACTGTACATTTTTACAAGAACAAAAACAAAATTATACTATTTCATGTGACTCAATTGTTCTAGTGACTCTATCGTTCAAGTGATACATTTATGGATTTACCCCCAATGACATGTTAATCATTATCACTATGTCCAACATATTCCCTTGATTACCGACTCTGAAAATTTTCATATTAATTTCTTTAAAGAACTAAAACATTAAAATACCCTATAATGCTTAAGTTGGACAATATTAGACTCCAAGGCTGAAAGGATGTTTACAAATTGGTTGAATGCATTGTTAAGACCAACCCTTTAATGATTGGACAGCTCTGTATACTGGGGATAGAAGTATTATTTCCCGAAACTTGTTTGGATGGATTTGTGGATCCACCTAACACAACAAGCTACCATGAAAGCTTACACGAAGTTCCATATTTATTCAATAAAAAATATTAAAGATCCATAAACAAAATGTATAATGTCGTTACTTTTTTCTTAATCTAACCAATATAAATATATCCAGGACATGTGTCAGCTCCCAGTGTAATATTCTTCCACTATTTTTTGTTTTGCATAAAACTTCAATGCTTTTTGGCTTTCTTTCAAGTGTGGAAGGAAACTGCTCTAGTATTTCTATGGTTTTGTTAAGTATTTATAACCCTTCATTAAATCATCATAATTGCTTCAAAATGAAATTATGTGTTGAATTTAGCAGGGAAAGGACAGGGGAGAGAATAATCTGCATATAACTTAAGATAATGGAAAAGCTTATTATTCTTCATGATTAATATATAGGTTCTTAAACGACTTAGTGGAGACTTTCCTAGGCTAATATTAAGTGCAACTTCCTAAACACTAATGCCCCTGAACACTAGATGCATTTTATCATGTGACTGAATCTACTATTTCTTATGTGCCATTATTTCCAACAGTATCAAATGCATTTTGGATTTCATTTAATAATTTATACTTTGGTTTTTTAACCAACAGCCTAATAGCACAAATTAACAAAAACAATATTTATATAAAAACAATGCATTTTAAAGACCCCAAAAAACAGAGTCAATTGTGAAAAAATCAATTAGTGTAAAAACTTTAAATAAAAAATCTTAAGACTAGTAAACTTATGTTAGGTAGTTAATTGAGGCAGATTCTAATTTCTAAGAACTGACTTTCATATACAAGCCTAATGACCGTAAAAATATGTAACACGTGATAAACGCCTTTAAGCTAGCAACTAACCAAGGAACCATCAGAGAGGCTATGCCTCATGGTAGAGCCCCCTTCAGATGAGATCCTTATCTGTCCTCCCTTTGCTTTTATAACATTACTTATCTTATTAATCCATTCGACCTTATCAGCTGCACTCTCAGCCTTCAAAACAACAGCACTGTGTGCTGCAAGATAGAAACACATTGAAATTTAAATGTTTTCAGAAATTCATAAGAAATTCAAGTTTGCATGTACATGTACCATTGACAGCTATATTATCAACAAGGGAATTTTACCTTTCAGAACAGTTTTATAAGGAACTCTACTGGTAATTTTAAATACAAGGTTGACTTTGCCAGAATCAGGCCCATTTGACTTCTTGTCCTTTGAGCTTTTGGATGGAGGATCCTCTTCATCCGCAACCTCTTCAATGTTACATTCCTGC